GCTTAGGGCTTAGGGGTTTAGAGCTTAGGGGTTTAGGGCTTAGGGGTTTAGGGTTTAGGGCTTCGGGGTTTAGGGTTTACGGCTTATAGGGGTTTAGGGTTTAGGGGTTTAGGATTTAGGGGCCCCCCCACCCCCCCGAAGTATGATAACCTCCCTGCTGAGTCCTCGGCCGCCTCCGCCCGTTCCCTCGAAGAGCCAGCGTGTCGGGACCTTGGTCCACAGCTTCTCCGTATGCTTGAGCCTCGGACTGGTTTTGTGTAGTTTTCGAAATTAGGGTCCCTTTTGGGGTCCTTTTTATAAAGGTGCCGTACTATATTGGGGACCCAAAAGGGGACCCTAATTTAGAGAACTACCCATATGTACCTATAGTCTCCATTGTAGTGCCTTTTTATGGCTTAACCAAGTATATATGGGAAGGATTTTATAAGGTATCCCCAAAAGGAACTACAATGGAGACTGTAGGTAAACTGTGCTTCGGTTCCCAACATCTAGGTGCACATTTGAAGGTCGTAGCCAGATTAGGTGGGGCATGTGATTAATAATTTGCGCTTTGGTTTGGTTCATAACTTAGTTCTCCAAGACCCAACCTTTAATTTTTGTTGGGTTCGTAGCCTTTTATTTTCCTGGCTTCTTGGGGAAGTAAGATAAAGGCCTTCCGACCCCAAGACGATAGCATCCCCAGGCACAAAAAGCCTCAAATCATAGTGCCAGGCCTCAATAGCCGCTCTAATGTGGGCCTAAATAACTACCAATACTATTTTGGGAGCTCCTTGTTTTTAGAGTATAATGGGCCCCCAGACCCTACATTACCTACGCATGCCTTTCGGCCTTCTGGATTAAGCCCGATGTTGAAGATTGAACTTCGGCCCCGGTTCATCAAAAGTCACAAACCCTGACACGCCCAACTCCCCAAAACCATAGACCCTAAAAGGTTTAGGGGTTTGTGGCATTGTTAATGTGAAGTCTGGAAGGCCCAATGAAAATTTGGAAGCCTCTGAAAATTCCAGGTTTGCTGGTGGCATCCTCTTGTCCACTGTCTACGAGCAGCTTGTGGCTGTTTCCGGACCCGCGGAAGCTCTATCATGGTGGGTGCCGGCTCGGCGAAATGGAGGGATGCCTTTCTTAGGGTCCCACTATGGGCTTTGGACGTAGGGTTTTTCACAATAAACGCCCTACAACGTCCCTAAACCCTAAAACCCTAAACCCTAAGCCCAAGCACCCCGAAAAACCCGAACCAGCACCCAGGTGCAGACAGTGCCCTCCATCGACGGCTTCTTCGTTGTCCCGTCTCTGGCGATAGCCATGATCTCCGGTGTTCGAAAAACCAAGGACTCAGGGGGCGCAAAAAGCCCTGAAGGCAGTCATGGTTAATCTAGACCTCTGATTCATAACCCCAGGAGCGGTTTTTTAGGGTTTTTACGGTTTAGGGTTTAGGGTTTTGGGTTTTGGGTTTAGGGTTTAGGGTTTAAACCAAATCAGCAGACTAGGTATAGTCTCCCCCCTTCAACCTCTTCTGTTTATACCCTGACATACCCCAAGACCCTTGTGCAACTGTTACTCGTTCAGGCCTTCAAAGTACAATCAGTGCTTCATGTGTCGAGAGGGCTGACAGGGGGCTTAGCAGCGCATCGGGGCTTCGGTGTGGTGTTTGCAAAAGACAGGGTTTTAAAGGGTAAATGATTCTTACATACTTAGGCCCTTCGGGCACACCTGAACCCTAAACACCACAAGCCTAAGGATTTTGGGCGTAGGGTTCTTTTCGAATGAGGGTCCTCAGCTCCATGCCCTGTCCTAAAGCCTGGTTCTAATCCCATTTCTAAACATCCAAACCTCCGTCCATGGAGGACAAATATGGATCACTGCAGCGAAGTCCGAAGCACGTGATGCCGCTCGTGACCCTTTTTTCATAGTATTGACTACGTTCGTTGTTTAGGGCTTTAGGGTTTGAGGTTTGGGGCGTTAATTGTTTTTTGGGGTGGTGTTTTGGGCGTGTGGCAGCATGCACCTTTCACAACTCCTTCTCTGCATCCCTCTCCCATTTCCTCAGTTCCCCAATACCAAACCTGTAAAATTTCTGGGTTCTTATGATGATTTAGTAGTAACCTGAAAGTTTAACCTTGTGTTTCTCTGGCTTATTGGGAAGTAAGTTTCCTCCCACGTAAATCTCCCATGCTCAGACCATGCTCCGTACCCCTGAGCTCAATTCGCTCAACCCCAAAGCTAGGTAGCATTATTAGGGGAACCCTTAAAGGGGTACCCCTTCTGAACCCTACTTTTGGCTCTCTTAAACGGGACCTTATTGAGAGGGTCTATATCCCCAAGCGTCCCCCTAATCATAGCTCCCAGCAGCCTTAAACCCCAGAAGCCTGTAAACCGCCCTAACCCTCCAGGTACCTTATATAGGGCCTTATGAGGGCTCTAGCACCCTATATAGTAGTAGGTACCTGGGGGGTCAGGGCCGATCATTGAAGAAGCCTCAAAGCAACAAATAGTTTAAACCCTGAGCTCTTAGCCGTCCTCTTAGCCGGATCGATAGGGACTCGGAACCCCTGATCCCGTGACCCCACAGCAGAAATCCTGGCCCCGCAAGCCTACTGCAACCTTGCAAACCCTACTAAACCCATAAACATTGCCTTTTGCATGCACCCTACAATCAACCCTAAAAAACCCGTAATCCCAACGCCTTTCAAACCCTGAACCACAAGCCCCAAACCCTGAACCATAAACCTAAACCCTAAACCCTGAACCACAAGCCCTAAACCCTAAAACCTAGAGCTTAAACCTCTCTGAGCAAAGGCTTACTTTGCGGCTACTTCTGGGTTTCGGCCTTTGGTGGGGTCGCCCGGCAAGAAAGCCAAGAGCTCCAGTTACCTAAATAGTAGGTTACTGAACCCTAAACCCTAAACCCTAAACCCTAAACCCTATATTATGTACCCCAGTAACCTACTATTTAGGTAACTGGAGCCCTAGGGAAAGGAAGTGCCCGACAGAGGAAGCCCAGGGTTAGAGGGGTTTGGCAGGGATGTCTGGGGTTCGGGACCCTACCTAACAAATAGTCTCCATTGTAGTTCCTTTTTGGGGATACCTTATAAAATTCCTGAATTATTAACTGGTAAAGCCGAAAAAAGGAACTACAATGGAGACTATAGGTAAACCCTAAACCGTTTAGGCTTTAGGGTTTAGGGCCTTCGTTTTTTGTCCGGCATTCCAGCATGCAGGCTTCATGTGGTAAAGGTCAGCTGTTTTTTGTATGGCGGTCATCCCCAATGTCCGAAGAAGATCCCCGCAAGACGCGGGCCTGAACCACGAATTTTTGCACAACACGTTTTTGAAATAGAACCTGAATAGTTGGCACTAAGGGTACTCAGCCCCGAAGTTTAAAAAAAAACAAAACTCCCAAACCCGATACGAAGTATTCAGAGGCCTTTTGCTATTTCAGCCCACTCCTGAAACTCCCTAACCCCCAGGTACCTGCTATATAGGGTACTAGAGCCCCTAAGGCCCTATATAGTAGGTACCTGGAGGGTTAGGGACTCTTTATGAATCCTGGCAAATCAAGGCTTCTTCGACCGGACGAGCCAGATGAAGGCCCTACCTGGCTCTTGGGTCTGTTGAAGGGTTTAGGGTTTAGGGCTTATGGGGTTTATGGGGTTTATAGGGTTTATAGGGTTTATAGGGCTTATAGGGTTTAGGGTTCAGGGTTTAGGGTTTATAGGGTTCAGGGTTTAGGGTTTAGGGGGCGTTAGGCCCTGTGAGCCCTTCACCCTATACTCGATGGTGCGGATCGGTGCAAAGGGGGCGGGGGGGGTTCTGACCAGAAGAGGTTCCGCGCTGAACCCTAAACCCTAAACCCTAAACCGTAGCGTTTTTGGTAGACCCTGAACCCTAAACCCTAAACGCGATGTGGGGTTTTCAGACCCTGGCCTCCTATCTTCGCATCGCTACGCATACCAGTAATGCTTTCCATTACAGGTTCCTAGTATAGCTAGAGTATAGTATACCGCAATAAGCCTGTTCAACTTTTTAAACAAAGCCCCGGACAAAGTATGTGGGTCAGTGTTCTCTGAGATGACAGACAGATAACGCTTTGAATCTGTGGGTCAGTGTTTTCTGAGATGACAAACAGATAACGCTTTGTCGGTCGGGTGGAGGAGGGCTTCAGCTTACCAGAGGCCTTCTAAAATAAGGGTGAGTTCTCTCTTACTGAGGATCGTAAGCCCTAAACTTTAACCCCCCCCCAACCAGCCTACCGTAATCTTCAATGCTTATAAAGAACCTAAAGCGCACCAACAACAAACTAAAAACCTCCCTTCTAAGACTCCTTAAAGAGCTGTTTTTCAAATCCCTTACACAATCCTTCATAGAGCCATGCCAGAACCAGGGCTGAGCCGCAAAGCCCTAAACCCTAAGGCCCTACCGAAGCTCGGTTCTAGAGTTTTGTGTTTTGGCTTCTACACCAAGAGCTCCAGGCATCAGCCTTTGGGTTCTGGGAAAGCCCTGGGGCTCTAAATAGCCCAAGTAGGTACTATTTACAGACTTTAGACCCCAAAGTAGGTACTATTTGTATACTTGGAGCCCAAGGGAAAGGGTTTAGGGTTTGGGCCAGTGGGGCTTGTTTTTCTGCAGAAAGATGCACAGGCCGCCGAGTGCCCAGACGCGGAGTGCAGCTTGGCTGCAATCAGGGTTCATAGGATTTCGGGCTCACAGGGTTTGGGGCTCATAAGGCTTGCAGGGTTTATGGGTTTAGGGTTTAGAGTTACGTTGCGTAGCGGGGTTGGAGTCCAGATTTGGCAAGAACTAAAAACCAAAGCTTTAGCCACAAACCCTGGAAAGCTACAGCCTTACAGCACACGAACGGCCAGAAGCGCTTAACCAAGCCTTGAAAGGGGTCTGTTCATACAGTCAGGAGCTTTCGTTCCTAATGTTGGTGGGAAATGTCGGCTCCTCAGCCTAATTACAGCCACTAGTCTTGCCTTGAAAGTGCATGGTTGCTGGTACCAGTGCTTGTACGACTCGGCAGTCCATCAAAACAGCCATGCAGGGCTTACTCTCAAAGGACCTTAAACCCTAAACCTTAAAGCCTAAACCCCTAGACCCTAAACCTCAAACCCCTACACCCTAAACCGTAAACTTCTAAACCGTAAACCCCTAAACCCTAAACCCCAAACCCTCAAGCCTGCCCTCCTGAAACGAGCATTCAACCGCCAACAGCTCCTTTGTTACTCGGATGGTGGCCCTTCGCCCAGGACCCCAAAGCCCCAGATCCTAAAAGCGTTAACAGCCCGCAGCCCGAATCCTTCTGAAACCTCCACTCGGGTGTACCTGTGACCCCAAACCCTACAAAATAGTAGGTCTAGAACCCTTAAAACGGTAGGTTTTGGGATCCCCAGGTAGGGGTTAAGCTTTAGGGTTTAGGGTGAAGAGTCACTAGGTTTAGCGTTTAGGATTTAGAGTCACTTGGGTGCAGGGTTTGGGGCTCAAGGTTTAGGAGTAATCCTTGCTGGCTCTTAGTAGGCAACACAGCTATGATCTCCTGTCAGCCCCGACGACGGGGGGCTGAAGCATTAGAACAGCCTTTTGGGTGTGTTCTGGCTGTATTTAGGGACCCATAGTTTAGCCCTAACCCCCCAGGTACCTACTCTATAGGGTACTAGAGCCCCTAAGGCCCTATACAGTAGATGCCTGGAAGGTTAGGGTAATGTCAAATATTCAGACCTTTGAGTCGCAACGCCTTCTGCTGATTATGCGCGTGTGCAATCTAGACTCCTTCGTTGCTTGGGAGAGACTCTCGAAGTATTGCCGGGAAGTTGGAACATCAGAGTTTTTCATGCGTAGGAAGGGCACATCAAGGGGAATCCCAGCACATCCCATACTTCAACCTTTCGGAGGTCGCCCGATTCCCATAGCCGACCCACATCTACACAACCCCCCCCCCCC